CTCCCACCGAGACAAACACACACGCATGCACACACACACACACACACACACACACACACACACACACACACACACTCACACCAGGATCTAAGACACACATGCTGAGCTGCCTTCCCTACAGATCTAAAACAGGTATTTGTGTGGTACTTTGTGTGTGTCTGTAAAAGACTGCACGTAGGGGGATGAGGGGGTGTGGGGACGAGGGGGTGGGGGGAACCAAGAGAATCATGCTTTTGACAATTATGGCCTTTCTCTGTGTGTGTATGTCTCTGTGTGCGCTTCGCCGACTGACACACAGAGTCGTAATTAAGGTTAAGGCGAAAGCAGAGAGTAATTAGAACATGTTGGGATGATCCACCCACCGGGGGGGGGGGTCTCGAGCATGGCTCATGCCAGCTGCTCACACACACAGGTCTGACATCATCCATCCAGAGATCAGGGTCTGACCGATGTATCATTTGGATGAAAATATCAATACTAGATTAATCAATAATAAGGTTGCACTGATTTGTGTGTACATATACATATGGTTGATGAGCTGAATGCATGTGTGTTTAATGAGGCAGTTTGGTGAAGTCTGCAGTGTTTTGGCCCGCGAGGACTGGCAGGGCACACGCTTTCAGAAACACAGATACCACAGACCAGACATGGCTGAATCTGTAACCACCATCTTATACTAGAATTTGGATAAAATCTCACAGCTGCCAGCTTTTCAGAACAACGGTCCTTACATCGAACAGTTGTTAGAAAAGCCTTGATGGTCAAGCTCCTTGTCCACACATTAAATGTTAGCTTATGAAAGGACCACTTCCTTTAAAAGGTCCTGCCCAAAGCTTCTCCTACACACTGCCCAGAAATGATGCAAGCTTGGGACGTGCTCCTCTGACAGGAATTGACTGTCAAAAATGACTAATTGGAATGTTTAATAAAGCGAGAAAAGTTGCGGCCTCACTGCGCGCGGAGCCCCGCTTGGCAATTTTCGGCACCCGTTATAAGCACTTAGCCTAAAACAACAGATAAGAGGTCTTTCAATTCATCAAATTAATAATCCATACAGGCCGGCTGGCCTGTGTCAGCCCTGAAAACCGTCCAATTACAGCATTGACAATGTAAATTCAGGGTGCTTTTGAGACCGCTGCTGATGGCCTTGGGGTTTTTGAGCGAATAAGCCGCCAATTCAATTGCGCTCTCTTGCCTCTTTTCAGACACTGCTGGAGAAAGAGCACAAATCCCACCGTCACTCAGTAGATCCCACCATTCAAGGACCAAATAATGCGTTTCACGCCAATGCCCTATACGTGTGCGCAAACACGTGGGCAAGCGACTGTGCACAGGCGGAAACCAATGCAAGCTCTCATGCACATTGACGCACTGTGACATAATCGTTATCTGCCTATGCTTCGTGCAGCTGGTTAATGCTGCAGCCTCATGAGTAGGAAGGGGCTGCAGGTTTTCTCTTTAATACGAGTCAGTGCTAAAAAGATCCTCCTCCAAATCCTACGTTGGTGGTTCTCGATGCCAGTTGCTATCTGACGTAAGGATGAACCAATCTAATTTATTATTTTCAGGGATGTACCAATATGGGAATTCTGGGCTACATATCGGACATAAATATATAATCAAATATCAGCTTTAAGTATCGGCCGAAGTCTGATGTCAATAATATTTAACACATATCTGCCACTACCAATGTGATTCTGTTATCATTGCACATCCTTATGCTGGCTTTACATGGTGAAACTTTAATGCAAATAGTGGCATGTTGTGAGTTGCCTGCAATATAATTTCCATGCAACTTGCCTTACACAAAATTCAAAAACAATAAACCGCAGAAATAAACCAACTTGTGCTTTTTATCCTCATCCACTGATCCAGTGAAATCAATCATTTGAAATTATGTCATTTGACATGATCACATGATGCATTACCGGCATGTTGACTGGGTGTTACATGAAACTTGTTTCACAAAGTCAAGATGGTTGCAACCGTTCCAGCTGACTTTCAAAAGAGTCGCAGGACACTTTACATTGTGTAACTCAAGTGCAATTTATTTTCATGTAGATTTCAGGCAACTGAAAATCAAACATTTGACAAAAAACTAAAGTTTGACAAGCAATTAAAGTTTGAAACTAAAGTTTCAAGCAACTAAAGTTGCATGACGCCTTACTGGTATTTTGATTGTGAAATAAGTTTCATGAAACAGTGTGGTTGCTCAATGACACTTACGGGAAACACAGTCCCAGCAGAGTTTCAAATGAGTTGCAAGATGCTGTGCAACTCGTGCAATTTATTTTTATGTACGTTTCAAGCAACTGTAATCAATCATTTGACATGATGCCATTCGATGCGATCATGTGATGCACTTCTGCCATTTTGATTGGCTATCTCACAAAATTTGTTTCACAAGACTGTGATGGTTACAACTGTTTTGGCCAAGTTTCAAATGAGTTGCAGGATGCTTTACATTACGCAGCTCAAGTCAATTCATGTCTGTAGGTTTCATGCAGGTTTCAAGCAACTAAAGTTGCATGAAAGCTTCACTGAGGAAAGCCAGCCTTGGTCTTTTTTCACCTGGTTCCAATCCCATTAAATATTGTATATTTAGGTGATTACCGGAAAAATACAATATTTACATTTCATAGATAATACAGCTGCAATCCACACATCACAGACGTTAAAGTCAACCTTGCCCTTTTATCGTGTTTTTTTTTTAATTACAACACCGTGCACCAGCAGACAGGGAAAATAATATTAACCAACAATATGATCATTTAATATTTTAGTATAAATAATTAACCAATAAAATGTTTCACTTCAACACAAAATCATTCAATAAAGGAAAATATATGCTAGGCTGCTAACTACTTTAAACTGCTACAGTAGCATCACATCATTTCTCACTTCACTCTGAAACGATACATTTTGTTCATTGGACTATTTTTTGAAATTCCTCTTTTTTATAGTCTGCTTCCATATTTCAAGTTGCTGTAACACAAGCAAAGTTGTCTTTTCTCTGCTTTGAACTTGCTGTTACTTTTATTAGCTTCAAACTCAAATTTCACATTTAGTTTAATGGTGTTTTAATGAAGGCAGCTAGTTTAACTGCAGCCAGAGACATTATAAATGCTTGTTGAGTCGATTTTTAATTTCCTGGGAAAAAAATCAGTTCATGTTGCAGATACTTAAATTACCTGTTATCTTCTGAAAAGATACTGCAGCAAGCTGTAGATAATATTAGCTAATGATCTCTATGACTGTGGTGCAAATATAGCACAATGGGATAAGGAATTAGACTGGGCCTAAAAGGGATTTTTCAACATTTCTACATAATGAAACCATGTAAACAAAGTAATTCAGAGTGGTTTGGTGTGAAATGCACTGTGTTGTAGAGGAACATAGAGTCAGTGCTGTTCAGAATGGTGGTGATAGGAACCAGACGTCTGTAGAGTTTAATTCCTCTAAAAGTTTCCTTACAAAAAGTTATTACATGAAATGGCTATAATCGCTGCCCGGTGCCTAATAATAGTTTTAAGAGAGGATTTTGACCTAAAATGTATCTTTTAAACTCCATTCAAGGTGCAAAGATACATGCCAGGCAAAGTAGTCAACAAAAGAAAATGTATTTTTTCCACATTTACCACTATTTTAACACAATCAACATGAGATATAAAAGCTCAAAAGACACCTGTATGTTCACTGGTGGTTTTGATAGTAAATAAAATGGCTATATTTGCGTTGTAGACATTGCGACCCCTGGTTCCTATCACCACCACTGTAAAGAAGTTTCTCTACAAGGCACCATTTCACACCAAACCACTCCGAATTACTTTGTTTACACATCAAAGACTTTAATATGGAAAATTTGAACAATCAGTGGAATTTTCCACACTTTCATACACCTCAATCAGCTCCGATACCAACCTCTCAGCCTGGATCAGGACATCCCTACTTTAACAGCTAATACTTGACCAGTAAGTATCATTCTGTTAACTGAGTCAGGAGAGTATAAGAGGAAAACACAATCGTACAAACTTGCACTGAGCTATTGCGCAGCCAGAAAAGCTAGGAGAGTTAGAGTAGGTACATCACTGGAACCAGGCATGTCTGAAGGAGAGAACGGAGTCTAGCAAGTCTCCAAAAATGAGCACGAATGTGAGATTCCATAGTCAAAAAGTTTGTCCTTCTCCTGCTCTGGCCTCCATCTACACCTCTCTCCCACACCGCGCTCATCTACTCTGACAATCTATCACAATTACACTCAGTCTCCCCTTCGCACAATCATAAATGCCATCTCTTTCCATCACTTCTCTCTCTTTCCATCATTCCCTTTCCTCTCTTTCCATTTGCTTTCATTTTCCCACCTTTTCCTGGTACGTTCCCATTCCATTTTCAGTGCCTTGTCTCACATTTTTCTTCCTCGACTTTCTTTATTCTTTATCCTCAGTTGAAGCGCATCACATTCACCCTTAGAAGTTGAGTTGTTATTGTTGTTTATTTGATTTAGGTTTGATTATTTTATTTATTATATTTTTTGCTTAAAGCTACACTATGTAAGTGTTGGGGATTTGGAGACTTCTCTAGTGGAACGGAGATTTTATAATGTGGGTTGTGCTTCGGACCCAAAACAACTGTAAATTTGACAATAACTGTGTAGCAAAAAAAATATCTGTATTAAACACAAATGTGGTATTAAGTTACAGTTTCTTTGTTTCAATGAATAAGTAATTAATATCAAATAAAACATTTAGCACTGGTCACAACTCAAGCTTCTAAGGGTCAAATATGTACTACAAAAGATTTCGTTAAAGAAAGTCTAATGTTGCTAACAGTGAATTACAGCGAATTACCACCAATTAGCATTATGCAAATAATATCATTATAATGCTCAATATCATCTAAAGCTTTCAAACAAAATCAAAATCCAAAATGTCTGGACTGGACATCAGAACGTCCGGTGCAGGGACACCGTAACAGACAAGTAGATCTAAATGTCCACTCACCTCTTTGGACCAGCATGGTAACCTCGCTGCCTTTGGGGCACTTGCTGAGCAGGTCCACCACCTGGTTGTGGGTGAGGTTCTGCACGTTCCTCTTATTCACCTCCATGATGATGTCACCCTCCCTTAGCCCTCTGCATCGTGGGTAATCCACGATCTGCTTGACCCGCTGGCCCCCTCCGGACGGGCTGTCCGCTATGGTGAAGCCGAAGCCCTTGTCGCCTTTCTCCATGTGTACTGTGATCAGCTCTGGCTGCGTGGCGATGGATGATGCCAGGGTCACCACGTCGCTCGGGTAACGCTCCTGAGAGCTGTCGGAGGCCACTTCATCAGATGGGCTGCGGGGTCGCGGGGGGTCACTGGAGCCATTCAGACTCCCTCCAGCCCCAGCTGTCTGACTACCGTGGCTGGATGGAGAGTCATAGCTTTCCTGGCCGTTGACTATGATGGGCTCCTTGTCCACGATGGCCACTGACGTCACCAGGCTGGTGTTGGGGTCGTCGGGGTCGAAGGGCAGAGGGTAGCCCCGGCACAGCTCCAGGTCCACCATGGAGCCGATGGGAATGGACTGGAAGATCTTGACCACTTGAGCATGCGTGTAGCCCAATACGCAGGTGTCGTTCACGCTGACAATGACGTCGCCTGAAGGAAGAAGATCGAGGTCCATCACAGATATGAATGATCTTAGGCCCAAGTTACTCCTTTAAGGCTAATATTTAGTTAATAAGCATAATTACTGAAACTAATACCTAAAGAATTAAAGCAATAATTAACAATAAAATCCAAATAGTCCAATTATCCCCTTTAAATCGTCTCTGTCCAAACTGGTAACTTTGCAGAAGAAAGCAACAATGTTCTTAACTTTTAAGTAAGTTAATGTAACAAGATTTTATTCTGAGCAATTTTGAAGCATTTCTATTGGTCCATTAATGAAATGTGTACACAACATAAAGGATAGCTGCTGTGCTCAAATGACAAAAATAATGGCGCAGTCTTATTATGGCAGCAATGAAATGTAGTTGATTTGCATAGAGATGTCCGAAGCTATTTTGGTTTAGCAGTGGAGCTATGAGGCAAATCATGGAAGCTGATGTCCCATCAATTAGCATCACAGCTGAGCATCATACTTGCCTCAAAATGTGTCAGCATTCTAAAATAATCCCCATTATACCCATAAAAAAATGGACAAAGAATCCAGGCTTCAAGATGTCTAGAACAGTGTTTTTAGCTAGGGGTATATTTTTGAGAAAACTAAAGAAAACTAAACAAGAACATACAGTGTCATTGAGGTGAACCACTGCTCTTATGATGCATCAAAGTCTATTTGGCGCCCCCTTATGGAGATTCTTTAGCCTGCTAAATGTGAGCGAGTGACAGGCCAGTTCAATGAGGTGCTATACATCTATAAAGTAAATTTCAGACAGCAAACAAGCCTCTGTGAATTGATTATATTTGAAGAAAAGGGGAAAGTTGTGTTAATTAGATTTTTCACTTCAGAGAGCCGAACCAAATCTACATCATTAACATGAAACATCTGAACTTCAATTCATAGGCAAACACAGGAAGAATCGGCCTGTTGGTCTTCTTACCCGTCTCCATCTTGCCGTCTAAGGCTGCCGGGCCGTCCAGCACCAGGCTTTTGATCTGGAGAAACTCGTCCGGCTCATCTCCACCCACCACAGTGAAGCCGAAACCACGACGGCTCTTCTTCAGTTTGGTGTTGATGAACGTGCCCTTCAACTCCGCTGGGTTCCTCGTGAAAAACGGCTTCCCTCCTGCAGAAAATGACAAAAACCATGAACATACAGCGACGAATACTGAGGGCAGGACTGACTAAGTCTCTCTTCACATTTCGTGTAACATATCTGAATGATATACAACTTTAAGAGTAATAATCAGCATTTTTATGGGGAGCAGGTTTAAATGTAAATCATAATAACCTAAATATTCCTCATGCATACTGCCTACAAGCACATTTCATGCATTATAAAAAGCGCAACATAATTATTTAAGCCAAATTATATAAATTAGTTTGAATTATTCATGGACAATTTCTACTGAACGCTGTGTAAAAGATAACACATTTGTAAAAATGCCAGTTTTACCCCATTATAAAATGAAAACATAAAAGCTGAATAAATAGGTCAAACTGTTTTTGAGCTGTTCAGGTCCTATTCACTGGACACAGTTGGTGGTTGTTTTAATGGGTGGTGAAGATGATCCTAAATCAGTGGGAATACAAAGTGAACTGTGTGTGGAAGCAGTGGACGATGGGGCGGATTAGAAATGACTGGGGGGGGGGTTGTGTGACAGACACTTAAAATGACATGTGACCTGTTCATCATGACCTGCTATGAGTGAATTATCACAGAATGAGAGAAAGAGAGAGAAAGAGTAAGAAAAATAGGGAGACAGAAAAAGACTGAGACAAGGGGGAGAGAAAAAGAGCAAGATAAAGAGAGAGCAAGCAAGCACACGAGAGAGAGAGAGAGAGAGAGAGAGAGAGAGAGAGGAAGGGAGAGAGAGAGAGAGAAACAGAGTAAGAAAGAGCAAGAGAAACAGCAAAAAGAAGAGAGGGAGACAGAAAGAGTGTAAGATATGAAGAATGTGATAAACAGTGAGAGAAAAAAAGCAAGAAAGCAAGCGAGAAAGGGAGTGAGTGAGTGAGAGAGAACGAGAGAGAGTGATTGAGCCCAAGACAGAGAAAGAGAAAGCCATGCTTTTCACAAGACATCACTGACTGAGACTCTCTCACTATAACAGAGTTACAGTCTCTTCCTCAGTTGTATTGTAGAGAACTGAAAGCTGTGGATGAAGCCAGTGAACAGCGGCTCTGTGAAAGAGCTGAAAGAGTTTTAGAAAGTGGAGCTGACCGCTGCATTAGAGCACTATTACTCTTATGTGAGATGTGCGTTATTCTGTAGCATACTAATATAGATGAATAGGACTGCTTTCAGATCACACAAAGAATGAGAGAGAGAAAGACAAAGAGAGAGAGAGAGATTAGCAAAAGTGTAGAGACTGATTAGATATCTAGACTAGATATTGGCTACTAGATTACAGTGGTGGACGAAGTACACAAACCATGTACTTGAGTTAAAGTAGAGATACCCAAGGTAAAATATTACTCCAGTAAAAGGAGAAGTTCCTCCCTTTAGACCTCCACTTGAGTAAAAGTACAAAAGTATTCGCCTTCAAATGTACTTAAGTATCGAAAGTGAAAGTGCTAAAAGATTAATTATGACTTTAATGTCCTATTACCATTTTTGTAACAAGACTCTTGCTTTCTCAACTCATTTTAGGTGAAAATACTCCAGTGTCACTCTTGTAACACCAATCTTTTAATAGAATGTGATTAATTAGTGACGCTGATGTCTATTAAAATTATCAAAAGCACAAAACACTGAAGGCAAACAATTCCCATTAGGTAGAACCGAGTGACCTTTTGCGAACAAGCAAAGTTTCAGTTTAAGATTTAATTGCAACTTAGTTTAAATGAAAATTAGTTTAAATTTAAACAAGTTTAAGTTTAATAAAAACTTGCTTTAATCACAGGTTCACAAATGAGTTTTCCTTTACTATATTACATCTGTAGGCCTCTGTTCATAAACATAAACTAGCCAAAACGAATTTACTATAAAACGAAAGTGTTTGTAGAAATTCAGAAAAAAGACACGTCAGTCACTGCATGTGTGTACATATTGCTATACTGTGGTCTATTTACACAAAGTTATGTTAGCTCCATAGTTTATGTAGGAATACGCGCTCTCAAACTTTTATGCTGTTACACTGTCATTAAACCGTGCGCTATGTCCAACAGGTCAAAACAAGCTCAAAACAAAGTGCGCGCTGTGCCCTGATTGGCGTTCTTCCTTCGCGCTTCTTTTGTTTTGACGTTACTTTTTATGCACACATAAACCAAAAGGAATGGCAGATTTCGCATAATGTAGTGGAGTAAAAAGTAAGATATTTGACTTTGAAATGTAGTGGATGAAAGTAAAAAGTCACCAAAAATGGAAATACTTCAGTAAAGAAACACAAAAAAACCACTTAAGTACAGTAACGAATTACATTTACTTCGTTACAGTCCACCACTGCTAGATTAGCTGATTACCTACACTAATGTAGGCTAATTAGACTAGCTCTGCCTTGCTGCAATAGACTAATCATACACTTCTGTCCAAGTGAGCATTTGTACATGTAAAACAGAGTATCTGTGACTGCTTTAGCAAAAATTTACAGACGCTTAAACAGACGTGTGATCTGTTCATCACGACCTGCTAAAAGTGAATTGACACATTTGTAAAGAGAGAAAGAGAGAGAGAGAGAGAGAGAGCAATAGTTTAAGAACTCTCTCAAAACAATGTCTCAACTATTAATCAATGCATTCATAACCATTTTGTGTTTTAATTTAATGAGATGTAGCTTATAGAACCGTTAAATGCTTCGGACGTCTGGTTCCTAGTACTATAATGGTGACTCTGTAAATTTCTCTGGAAAGGTGCATTTCACACTGAACCAGTCTAAATAATCTTGTTTACATCTAAACCATTGAATGATTAAGTAATTTTGTAAAATCAGTGGAGTTCTCCTTTAAAGACAGATTTGCGTTACTTACCTACATGAATGTGAACCACGATGTTAGAAAGATCAGATTTGAGCAAAAAAATAAATAATCAGATCAATGAGGTTTGTAATGTGAACGTGGACTATGTGTGAGGAGGGATCACATACGTTTAGCCCCTATCTGAGGCAGTGGAGCGGCGGAGCCCGGCTCTCTGTACGTCTCCTGGTGGTTGGTGGCGTAGCTGGCTAGCGGTGCTCCTGATGAATGCTCTTCTATCCATTCTGAAAGAGTGAGGGGAACACTTTCTAACTCTGTGTGTACTTATTCACACCCATCCAACAGTGGAACCACAGCACAACTGCCAGGGTGGCCACTGCTAGTGACCAAAACTATCCCTGAACTACAGGGCGCTTCTCACATGATGCGATCTCAGCAACAACACGGGTCAATAGTGGAAAGAAATTTTTGGACAAATAGTGAAGACGGGGGGAAAAACTCGGTAATGAAGAAGGCGCCGTTTAGCTGAGCAGGCTGGAAATGCGGCCTGAGCGGTAAGTCCCATGAGGTCCAACCTGCATTTAAAGTGGGCCTCTGCAGGACACGTTAAATATAGAACAGGGCAGAAACGACGTCGCTGATACAAGCGAGCTCTAATGGTCATATTGGACTTCTGATGATGCTATTAAAAGGTCAGTTTACTAGCAATACATTGATTCTACCCTGAGAAATATGATCCCAGACTCCCTGAAAAACTTGTTACAGTAATGATAAATGTGTCGATCTAGGATCAGCTCTCCCCAAACCCAAACCCCTCCTGTTATTTTTACATTATTTATATTATTTGCATGTGTACTACATGTTATTATGTTAGTTATATGTACATACGTACATTCTGCATTTTTAATAAAGGTTTAAATGAAGGTTTTGAACCTGAACTGTAAACAGCTGCTATGTATGTACAGTGCTGATGTATATATTCCTTAATTAAACTATGCGGACCTCGAAGTGGGAAAACTGAAAATGCTATGTTCCGGGCAAAAACAGGGGTTTGGTAAAAAAACTATAAACTTCAGTTCATCACAAACAAATCATACAAAAAAAAACATCAAAACAACAACAGCAGCACTTTTGAGTTTATTCAAATAAATGCAAATAAATAACAAACTAAATTTAAGGCAATATAAAAATAATAATAATAATAATAATAATAATAATAACAATAATAATTGTAATAATAATAATAATAATAATAACAACAACAATAATAATATAATAATAATAAACCATAAGTAGGATTATTATAATTATTATTGCCGTTGTTTGTTGTTATATTTACTAACTTTTACCCATCTAATCAGACTAAAAACAAACATTTAGCCTGAAGAACAATCACAGCTGTGCAGTAGTGAATAAAATGTGTTGCTGGTCAAGAACAAACCTCGGGCACACAGCTCACCTTCAGCAGGCTGAGACTGTTCCAACTGCTTCTTCCTCTTAGCCTCCAGTATAGGATTCTCATACTGAGTCTTTCTGTTAATGTGACTGAGAGAGAGAGAGAGAGAGAGAAAGAAAGAAAGAGAGAGAGAGAGAGAGAGAGAGAGAGAGAGATAAATGGGAGCAGCGAGTGATGATCAGCTCTTCATTCTCACAGCTCTCACTCACTGCACACCAAACAGCGCTGGACTCACAGAAACAGCACCACACAATGACACTGAAGTGCTGGCTGACATTTGGGCCTGTTTTCCAGAAAAACGCCTGAATCAGGTGTGTGGTGGGAAACTAGAAAACCATGTATAGCACTCAATACCCTCTCTCTGCCTGAGAGACTTTACTTTGAACAACATCAAAACACATGAATGCATTCATGTTTGTGCATAACACACCCAAGGGTCCCCAGCGGGGGGAGAGAGAGAGAGAAAGAGAGAGATTTGAAACATGATAAAGGCATCAGCAGAGGGATCGACCTCACTCAGCATGACCGCGAATACACTGAGCATACGCTCGTCTTTTTACTGTGAGGAATCTCATAAGCTACAGTTACAGGAAGAGTTAGGAAATTATATTTCAAAACTGGGACATTTGATTTGCTACATTGACTTTATGTAGTAAACTGTTCCTTTACATAGGAAACTAGTTAGCAAGAGCTACACAACTCAGAGCAGTGTAACATGAAAGAAAGAAAAAAGAAAAACGAAGATTAAGAAAGGGTGGAGAGAACAAGAAATAAAGAAAAAGAGGGAGAAGAAAAGAAAAACAAAGACGAAAAAAGAAAGAAAGAAAAAAAGGTAAAGAAAGAAAGTTTGAGAAGGGGTAGAGGGAAGAACAAGAAAAAAAGAAAAGGAAAGAAAAAGGGAGAAGAAAAGAAAAACAGAGAGAGATGACAGAAAGAAAGAAAGAAGAAAGAGAGAGAGGAAGATAGAACAAGAAAACAAAGACAGTAAGACAGACAGTGAGAAAGAAAGGTACAGTGAAAAGGAACGAAAGACAGAGAAATAGATGAAAAAGTAAGAAAGAAAGAAAGAAAGAAAGAAAAAGAAAGAACAAGAAAAGAAAGACAGGTGTGAAGGACAGAAAGGTACAGGGAGAAGGAAAGAAAGACAGAGAGAAATGTGAGACAAAGAAAGAAAAAGAAAAAAGCAGAGACAGACAGAGAGAGAGAGAGAGAGAGAGAGAGAGAGAGAGAGACTGAGACTAAACACTGCCTTAGGAAGCCTTTCATAGGTTTCCTTAATGCATCATACCGAGTTATGATGTATTATATAAAGAGCTGAGGAACGTGTCGCCTATGAAGCCTTGAGAACGCATGTTCGCTCCTGCTGTTACCACTGTTCTTGTCTAGCACCGTATTTTTGTCCCCTTTTAACTCCAGCAGAAAACTAAAGAAGCAAACTTCAGACACCAAACTTGTCTTCACTAAAAGACCTCATTAAATATAAGAGGAAATTTTTTTCTCTTTTAACCAAACTGTTCTTCTAGAGGAAAAAAGCGGAGATGCAGTGTGAGTAAAAGACTTGTGGAGTTGTTTCATCACTTACTCTACGTAATAAACCCCGTACACTGGATCGTCAATCTTCTCCCAGCCTGCAGGCAACTCTGCAAAGGAGAAGAACAGAAAGAGGAGAGGAAATGAACTCCAGCGCTACTGCAAATTAACACGATCCTTCTTTCCCTGCTCAACATGCACTTTTACATCTTACACAGGCAATAAAACAATCAGGATGAAGCCATCATTCCAGCATTAAGAGACAAACAGCAGTTATGAGGTGACCCGCCAGAGACTCACCCATTTATAAGATGCCATGCGAATGGAAGTCTTGACTGTAAAATAATCTCACCCTCGTCCCAAAACAATAAATGAATCTGCACATTGCTAGAGGTGCTTTGTGCTAATTGAGAGGTCTAACTTTCCCCCTGAGAGAGCTGTATTCAATACAGCAGGACTAAAGCTGTGCTAATGGCTCCCTCTTTGGCGCGGCTTCTGCTTTCTAAAATCTGAATGTGACACGCTCAAAGTCATCGTAAAGGAATTTACATTGAGAGCAGGATGTGGCCAAATTGTACGGAGCCCCAAAGGTGACATGGTGATTATTTTTAACAAGGCATGGCCACAAATTAATGTAATTTGGCCATGAGTTATGTTTCTCATAACCCATAGCCTAAAAATGTTAATTTGTGGCTTCAATATATTAAATTGGCCTCAATATAGTAGTTTATGGGTACAGTATATTCATTTGTGATCTTAATATATTAACTTGTGGTGTCAATTTAGTTATTTGTGACAATATAGTAATTTGTGGCCTCAATATAGTAATTTGTGGCTTCCATATAGTAAGTTGTGGCCTTAATATAGTAAACTGTGCCCTCAATATAGTACTTTGTGGCCTAAATATAGTCATTTGTGACCTCAATGTAGTAATTTGTGGCCTCAATATAGTACTTTCTGGCCTCAATATAGTAAATTGTGGCCGCAATGTAGCAATTTGTGGTCTCGATATAGTAATTTGTGGCCTCAGTATAATAATTCATAGATTCAAGTATAGTATTTTGTGGCCTTAATATATTAATTTGTGGTCTCAATATAGTAATTTGTGACCTCAATGTAGTAATTTTTAACCTCAATATACTATTTTTGTATATTTTTGTGGCTTCAATATAGTAAGTTGTGGCCTTAATATAGTATATTGTGGCCTCAATATATGAATTTTTGGCCTCGATATAGTAATTTATAGCTTCAGTATAGTAATTTGTGGCCTAAATATAATAATTGTGGCCCTGATATAGTAATTCATGGCTTCAATACAGTAATTTGTGGCCCTGATATAGTAATTCATGGCTTCATTACATTAATTGGTGGCCTAGATATAGTACTTTATAGCTTCAATATAGTAATTTGTGGCCTTGATATATTAATTTGTGGCCTCAATATATAAATTTTATGACCTCAAGGTAGTAAATCATGGCTTCAAAATAGTAATTTGTGGCATCAATATATTAATTTGTGGCCTCAATATAGTAATTCATGTCTTCAATATAGTAATTGTACCCTCAATATAATAATTAACATTCATTTGTGGCCACGATTTTATTAAAAAATAATCACAATATGACCTTAAGGTCTCCATAAAATTGTGAGCATGTCAGTTGTTTTAATTTGCTTCATAAGAAGTCATCACTTATCCTATATACTTTAGTGTAAAAATGCTTATTTCCAAAGAGCACCTTATGGGTTTTACAGTATTGTGTTAGCACAGGGGCAGAACACAGACATTTGGAGCTCATAACATGGACATTTAAAGCTTATAACTACTCATATCAAACATTCAAGTAAGATATATTTTAAAATAATTAGTCCATCAGTAATAATTTGAACTTAAATCTTGTGATGGTCTGACCATTAGTTAGCCAGACAGCTTATTTCCCATTGCTGTAGCTAGGGGGGGGCTCTCAAATGTGATGTTGCAATGCCATCACTAGGGAGTCGCATGCTAGGAAAATTCTTAAATGTGCTCAGCAGGGTGGGAGAAAAACTGCTTTGAATTCAAATGCAGATGCTGACATGAGGACCACCAAGGTACACCTGGAGAAGTACACAAACTGAATAAGCGAGTGCTCATATAAAAGTGATGGTTTAATATTCAGATATGAAGTGCGATCTTGACACGTTGCGGCGAATGATGAATACAAACGCAATTCTATGGAATTAAATATTCAGACGTGTGTTGTCAGTGACACCGCAACACACCTCTGGATGAAAATGCATCTTCTTTCCGACTGTTTTGACAAGAACGTCGAAGTAAGCGGTGGATTTGCATAAGGCCCAGAGCCAGTGGGGCTTCATCATTAACGGTTTTTATGGAAAGAGCGCCTTTATTGCGCTGCCTGTTAATTGGCTGGCGAAAGCAGGAGCACGTTTAGGAGTTCTCTTTGGGCAAGAAGAGAAAAGTCGTTATCTCTGGCAAGCAGAGTGATAACAAATTAGCCAGATTGGTGTTTTGTTCTAATGAATCCATAAATGTCAGACGACGCTAATTGCTTGTGAATAATCTTGTGGTGACGGATTTTCCTCAGAGGACAGCTGACCTGAACTCCTCAACTTCCATCTCTGCTAATAATCATAATCATTTCTGATATCTGTCAGAAGTTTGGACACTTAAAGGGGTTTTATACATTTTAGAACAACTGTAAAGATATCAAAACTACTTGCTGGAAATGGGGAGGAGCTTAAAAAACATTTTTGAAATATATATAAATATATACACATGAATATATTTGTTTAAGCTAATTTCAAGCATTTAAGCAAAAAAAAAAAAGAATCAAAATGTCAACCAAAGATTTGGCTGAAAATGTACTTTGTTTATTTATTAATTTATTTTCCAAGAAATCCAAATCAAGCAACACTGAAAGTCATATATTTTTCTCCATAAAAATCAGCTACTTATCGCTGCTGTCGGAACAAAATCTCATATCTCCAAAATGATAACTTTACAGGAGAAGGAAAAAACATACTCTGCTTTTAATGTAAGTCAATGGAACCAGAGTTCTTTCCAAGTAATTCTAAGCCATTTGTTTTAGTCCATTCATCATGAAATTTACACACAATGTAAAGGGCAACAGGCATTTTCAAATTATGTCAAAAATTGAAAAATGAAGATACAAGGTTTTGTTTCGACAGCAGCGATATGCAACACAGCAATGGGCTACATCTTGCAAACTAAAATAATTTAGCCACATTTTTTATTATACATTATTTATCAATCATTTTTTCCTCTGCTGAAAGCCCAATCCACTCAGGTAAGCCTGAGATATCTGCTTTAATTCTGAACAGTTGGACTGTCAAGACAAGACAACATCCGAATCTCTCTTGCTGCTCCAAAGCATCTCCAGAGAGGTATAAAGCAGAATGTTTTAGTAGGCCACAGCTCTGCAATGCTAATCTAAGTTCTGCTTCATGTGCCTTCCTGTAATGATAATTGGAATTTGAGTGCCGGACATTGATTCTAGATCAGTCTTTTAAAAAGATAAACAGAGTATAATTTCCGTGCCTTCCTTCCCCACAAAGCAGTGGTTCCTAAACCTGGTCCTGAACTCTAACGCATTCACATTAACTCAGGAAACAGGTTCGGACAGTCTACAGTCGGGTTCTGATGGAAAAGTTTTGAGCTACAGTTAAGTTCAGACAGAAACTTGTCAGGCTACAGTTGGGTTCAGACAGAATTTTGTTGGACTACAGTCAGGTTTAGATGTTCTTGGGCGACAGTCAGGTTCAGTCAGAATGTTTTCAGGTTACAGTTTAGTTGTAACAATTCTGTCAAGTTAGGTTGGGACAGAATGTTGTCAGGCTACAGTCGGATTCAAACAGAATGTTATCAAGCTACAGTCACTTGTGACAATCTTGTTAAGCTACGATCAGGTTGGGCTACAACCTGTCAGGCTTCAGTGAGGTTCAGACAATTTTATCAGACTACAGTCAGATTCAGATAGAATTTTGTCAGGCTACAGTTGGGTTCAGACAGAAAGTTGCTGAGCCACAGCTGGTTTCCAAGAGAATGCTAGCAGGCTATAGTCAGGTTCAGGCAGAATTTTATCAGGCTACAGTCGTGCTGGAATAGAATTTTGTTGGGCTACAGTCGAGTTGGGACCGACTTTTGTTGGGCTACAGTTGGGCCGGAACAGAATTTTGTCAGGCTACAGTTGAGTTGGGACCGACTTTTGTTAGGCTACAGTTGGGCCGGAACAGAATTTTGTCAGGCTACAGTCAAGTTGAGAAAAATTGTGTCAGGCTACAGTCAGGTTGAGAGAATTTTGTCAAGACTACAGTCAGGTTGGGACAGAATTTTGTCAAGACTACAGTCAAGTTGGGACAGAATTTTGTTGGGCTACAGTCAAGTTGGGACAGAATCTTGTTGGGCTATAGTCAAGTTGGGACAGAATTTTGTTGGGCTACAGTCAAGTTGGGACAGAATCTTGTTGGGCTATAGTCAAGTTGGGACAGAATTTTGTTGGGCTACAGTTGGGCTGGAACAGAATTTTGTCAGGCTACTGTGACATTTGGGCAGAATTTTGTCAGGCTACTGTCAAGTTGTGAGAGAATTTTGTTGAGCTAGAGTGAGGTTGGGACAGAAGTTTGTTGGGCTAGAGTTAGTTTCAGACAGATGTTGTCAGGTTGGATTTGGGCTAGGACAGAATGTTGTTGGGCTACAGTCAAGTTGGAACAGGATTTTGGCAGGCATCAATTGGGCTGAGACAGAATTTTGTTGGGCTGTAAGCAGGTTTGGATTGTAAACTTGATGCCGTGGGTCTACTTGGGTTGAACTCATGTTCTTGGGTCACATTCATGTTCAGATAAGATATTCAGACACAATTAAACCTCCAAGACAGGGTTGCGAATCACTGTTGTAGAGACTCAAGTGATAGATTGTTGTTAGATTGTTCGTGTCTCATTCTGGTCTGATCTCAGAATGTGCTCTCTCTTCTATGTCAGTCGATGTCACTAAGGGACCCTTCACATCTTGCCCCAAGCCCATGTTCGATGGCATCTGGTCAATTTTTCCAATTTCTCCAATTGATATCTATTGACCTTGCTCCTCCAATTTGTCTGGGTAAAATAAAAATGCTGCTCCCTGAAGCCGATGCTAACTACGTGAGATCCATTTCCACCACAGTGCGGGCCTTCGATTGTATTGTGGATACAGCTCACAGAGCTGAAAGAGGTGGGGGAGGGGGCAGTGGGCCTTTGGATTGCGAATAAATACATGGTGCTAGACGCACTGATATGAGAAACACGTTTCAACACAAAATGACTGTGGCTGTGTCTTCTGCGTCATCGTTTCTGGGATACCAAGTCATATGGGTGCATACAAAAACACCAGCCACTGTGATTGCAGTGGAGTCATATTACCGATACTGCCTGGGTTGCAAGAACAACGATGAATATTTTATGTTAGATGGAGCAAACGACAGCACAGCAAAGCTTGTTTTGAAATTACGTCGTGACTTTTCACTTGGATCCCTTCCTGATTGTGCGGATAGAGAGCATCTAGGCAGAAAAGCATTAGCGCTGGAGACTGGAGGATTAAGACACACAGAGACTGCGTGCAGAGAATGGTCAATAAACTCGTCCGTTGATACTGATCAGAAACCAATTCCGTGTTTCTTAATAGCTGGAGATAGGATTGTTTAGGAAATTCTGCTGGGCCAACGAAAGGTCTAGGTCTTCCAGTAGCCAAGTATAGTGAGTGCCCAACAGAAAAGAGCAAATACCTCAAAGGTTAGTGGCCTACCTAGGTCATTGTCCAGTTCCTCGGTATGTACCCCTTCTTCTCAACGCCAGGGCGAGGTAGAGAGGGAGGGGATAGTAAGAGAAACAGTGAGAAAAGAAGGATAGAGGGAATTAGTGTAAAAAATGGTTAGTCATTAGTCAATGCAAAGAGTTCAAAGATGTCCAAAACATGGCCTGGTTTTTCAAATGCTCTACTGTAGGGATTACTAGCCATTCTTATCCTTAGCCACTCTTAATAAAAGAAGACAAAAGACACTGACTGTCAGCCGATGAATGGGTTTTATCCATCATTTAAATCCATAATTTTAGGGAATACTTGCCTACACAACAGCAACTTGGACATCAGAGTTGGATATTATGTTTAGATGAAGCCAGAGCCCAATGAGAAAGCACATTTTTTTAAGCTTCACTCAGGAATTGCCAAAACAAGGCAACAGATGTGCTGAGATTAGGTTCTTAGATTAACCACAGAGCATGCTAAACATACATTGTATGGAATGTTTGAATATTTGACATTGGTTTTTGAAGATTTCAGTTGTTGTGGTAAGAACCAGCAAGGAAGCAATTCCTGCCTGGGATTTTAATCCAAATAAACGTTAATTAAACATTGCTTAATATGGGACTTGAAAGAAGAACCAGCCAGATATGCTACAAGCAACAAACCTCCTGGGATTTTACTCTCAGAGTAGAAAAAACATGCACTCTCGGATTGCACCCTACTACACATGATGTTCAGGGAGATGCTTGAACATGGTAATACCCACTATACTATTATCTCAACCATGATTTCAAAGTGCAGAACAGCCAAGCATTCATGTTCCACTTTGCATGCATTTAAATCTTTTGACCAAAATGAGGGTGTGAAGGCGTGAGGCAGGGACTAGCTTGGGATGGATGGCTAGTTTAACGCTTTTGCATGCATTATAGGCCTCTTCAATCACTGATAGAAATGAAGGCCAGTGTGACAGACAAGCATGAGTAACATATGGGCACAAGAAGATGGAAGGCTGGGCTTGATGAGATGATCTAGGCTCAGTTTTTTAACCTATATCTGAGCAAAGGTGATTGCAAGGACAAGGAAGACCTGTTCCTGGATGAGCATTATTTATATGTCTGTCTATAAATAATCCCACAGCAGGAACGCCGATTCAGGATCATCTTCTGTCTTGATGCTGTACATGCTAGTATTTAATAACACTATTTTTCTATCTACACTTATGACACTTGATTGACCTCATAGAAGAAAGTCTGTTGTACAAGCTCTTATTTTACAATCTACTCTGCTTAGTTAAAGGAATAGTTTGACGAAAAAACAAATTAGCCCAATTTTTCCTTCCCTCCCTAAACACAGTCAACTAGCCAAGACATATTTGGTGTCTGAATTTGTTTCCTACATAAATAGAGTATACAGTATGTTGGTTGCTAAGAATTATCTTGCAAACATTGTTAGCTGGACTATGCAATGCTCTTTTGTCCATTTTAGGCAAATTTCCAGAAATGCACACTCCATCCATCCATCCATGCATTAGCCCATCAATCCATCCATCCATGCATGTATCCATCCATGCAATCCACCAATCCATCAATCAGTCCATCCATCAATCCAGTAATCAATCCATGCCTCAGACGGTTCATTCATCCACCAATCCGTCCATTCATCCATCGATCAGTCCATTCATCCATCAATCCATCCATCATCCAGCAATCCATCCTTACATCAATTCATTAATCCATCAATCCATCCATCCACCCATGCATCCATTCATTAATCCATCAATCCAGCAATCTAACCATTCCAGCAATCCACCCAGGCATCAATCCACCCATGCATCAATAAATCATTCAGTAAATCATTCCATCTATCCATGATCCGAATTGGTCGATTATAAGCTTCCATTACTCGTTAGCTCCATTAGCCTCAATGCAAAACTAAAACAAACTTCAGACACCAAATGTGTTTCAGCTTGTTGACTGCATTTGGGATAAAGACGAAAGTGTGAATGCTTGATTTTTTTTTTTTCTTAAACTATCACTTCAACAGAGTACTTGCATATCTGACCCGAGTCTGATCTCTTAAAAAGCCACTTCCATTCCTGGTGGTTCAAACTGAGCCACTGAACTGACAGAGCCTGTAGGAGAAGGCCTGAGCTTCTGGCATATAACCATATAACTGTGAATATTCTCATTCAACATGTGCTGAAGAGCCAACACTGGTTGGGAACATATAGTCCAACTTAGTTTATGAATACAGAATCAGAGTCTGTGTGTGTGTGTGTGTGTGTGTGTGTGTGTGTGTGTGTGTGTGTGTGTGTGCTGAGTGTGTAATTAAGATGGAAAAGCGGAGAAGGCAGAGGGCGGAATGATGTACAGTAGGCCTATTTGAGCTGGATGATGCGAATAATCCAGTCCCTCCTTAATGCTTTGAAGTGTCTGTGTCAGACTCTCTGAACAGAGTTAAGGATTATGGCAGCATGGAAAATACAACTATAGCTCAAGAGAGCCACCTATAGGCCACTGAGGGATCAGCTGCATGCATATGGTATGGGTGGAGTATACAGACAGAGACTAAACACAAAGGTGTGGAGCAGAATTTCATTTGAGTCTAGACTGAAAGTCCAATCTAATTCATTTTCATTCCTAAAAAGACTATGAATATGTAATGTTGATCGTGATAAACTAGCGATGAATACAAAAACAAAGAAGCTTTCTTTGGGTTCTACTTTATAATACCTCTCCGCCATGAGTGAACCTAAAAATATATTTGTTTTAGGCCAAACCCTTATCTAAACTATCATAAAACAATGTTCCAAGCCTCGGGCAGTGCATTCATAACCATCTCATATAATAACTTTCAGGAAAAGAGCTTTTAGAGCAGCTGAGTCCAATCTTATCCGCAAAGGGCCAGTGTTGTTGCAGGTTTTCATTACCACAGAGCAGAAGCACACCTGATCAGTTGTGTGAAGCTTGACCAAATGATTAAACAAGTGGAACCAGGTGCGCCCCTGCTTGTTTGGAATGAAAATGTGCAGCCGCACTGGTCCTCTGGGGATAAGGTTGGACATCCCTGATATAGAGGCATTAAACATTGTGGACGTCTGGTTCCTATCACCACCACTCTGAATTATTTTATTATTTATTTATTCGTTTATTTATTATTATTCATATTCTTATTTTATGATTATTTAGTTATTATTTTAGTCATTTTAATTATTTTTTAGTTTCCTTTTTGATCTTATCCTTCTTTTGTTTTATTTATTTTCTTTTGGTTTTATTAACTTTTACATTTTAACTACATTTTAATTAGTGTTTTATATTTTCTACTGTATTTTTATGTATTTTTATGATTAAAGTTTCATTTTTTTTTAAACTTACCTGATTTGAGTCATTTTTTATTAAATTTACTTTTATTATTTGATATGTTCTTATATATTATCAATCGCCTTTTCTGTATCAACTCGGCAGCATTGTAAATGAGGGTCACCCTCAATGTTCGAGGTTAAAGAAGGGTTGATTGATTTATTGATTGATCGATCAATTCTGACTTGCCACATTTCTCTAGAAATGGGTGCCCAAAATTTTGTCCCAAGGGGCCAAAGCGCAATGCTTATGGTGGGCTGAGGGCAAAAAAACAAAATAATATAAAGTAGACAGGTTTAATTTAATTTTGTTACCAAAATATTTACAAAAAATAGAATTTTTTAATTTTTATGTAAAATAAGATTTTAAGTTTCATATAGCAGTGGTTCTCAAACTGGTCCTCTGGAACCCCTAGATCATTCCCGAGTTAGGTTTGAGTACAAATGTCGGACTGCTTGGAGGTCCCTGAAGACCCTGAGAACCACTGATAGATAGGATAAACATATGTTTGTTCTTTTTTTGGGTGAGGGGGTGGAGTTAGGGAGTTAAGGTAACAATCTGATGAGTTAAGGTAACTATCTGATGGGCCAAATTAAACATCCTCATGGGCCATTTTTGGACACCCCTGCTCTAGAATAATGCATTTAACATCAAGTTTACATCTTAAAAGGTGCACTATGTAAGATTAGGGCATTTGGAGACCTCTCTGGTGGAAATGTGTAACTGCATGTGGAAGATAATTTTGTAACGCTGGTTGCACATATACCTCCACAAATGGATGAACCTGACATTTGCGAATACACAAACAGTAACAAAATAGAACTCAGCTAAAGTCTGTAAGTGAATCTATGACTGTCATCACAGCTTCATCAGTATGATGTTGATGTTGCATTTGAGGCCTAAATACTGGAGAGTCTTTTTGAGTCTGTGTACATGACATGATCTGAAAAATTACCACAAAATCTGACCCGACACCTCTGATTTTTAAATGATTATTTCAGGCTTTACAGGTAAAACACATAAGGACCTACATTCGCAACAGCAAAGAATTAAAGACATAAAATAAACTGGAAGTGACCCTACCATCATCATCACATTCTTCCAGTGGCTTCTGGGGCTTGTCCAGGCACCGTGGGTCTAACCAGGACGTGGTCTTTGTGTTGTGGCTAAGAAAACACAGCAGAGGAGATGCAGTCTTTGTTTTAGGGGGATACAACATGCCCTGTTATTTACACCACAGCTACAAAATATCGCATTGCTTAAAATGTTGCTATTTTATCGAAAACAGAAACTGTGCACAGGGTAGAGAAATATTTTAGTCATAACAAGGTGAAATGTCTCCAATATTCACTGTGTTTCAGAAATAAAACACTAGTAACAAGGCAGTACCTGCCACTGGTGCTAAAGATCCCCCACAAAATTGGCTTACTTGCTTAACAATGACCAGGTAGCATGGTCTTATATGTCTAACTCTACCAAGCTTTTGTTCAGCTTTAGCCACATGGGTGAGATGTTTCAAGAAAGGAATAATTAAAGAGAAATCCCAACATTTTTTTTATTTCAGCATATTTAAATAGTTAATTAAGATGCAAAAGTAATTCAGAGAGGTTTGGTGAGAAATTTTGAGTCACACAATTATTCACAATGGTGTAGATAGGAACCAGACGTCTTAAGAGTTTAATGCCTCTATATGCTACCTAAAAGTTGCCTGAGACTAAAAGGTGCCTACACTAGTTCTGAGGTAAGCTTTTGGCCTAAACTGTTTTTTAATGCATTCAAGGCAAAATAGTCTCTTTAAGATTTTCTACCTTTTTTACTATAATCACTATTACATATAAAAACTCAGACCTATGTAGGTTAGCTGGTCATTTTGGACAGGTTCCCATCAGCACCACTATAAAGAAACTGCTGAGTTTCTTTATAATGATCCACATCACCACTCTGAATGGCTTTGTTTACATCTCAGTGGCTGAATTATGCAGAAATGTGGAAAAGTTGGTGGAATTCTGCTTAAAGCACTTAAAACAGTCCACATAAGGTCTGATTTTAAGGCTTGTTTCCTTTGTTTAAATGCTTCACCCACATGAATATGCTGATGAATTGACTCTGTTCTTCCACCTTTGAGGTTTGCTACCCCAAAGCACCAAGAAAACAATAGTGGGTAAAATAATCAAAGCCAAAAACTACACTGTAAGTACAACAAAGCATAACAAGAAACAGGAGAAAACAATTCAACTACTAGTTCAATTCAAATTCAGCTGATTACAGAAGTGTGAATCAAACCAAGCCCATATAAACCAAGGACAATGAGTAAAATGAGCTGAATTTGAATTGTTTTGTCCTATTATATCAAGTAAAAAATACAAATAAGTACTTATAGCATAGCTTTCCAGCTTTTGTGAAGGAAAAAAGCCCTATTGTTTTGCTGGTGCACAGTTAGAAACCCCCCAGTCTAACGTACCAAAACAATTTATCAGCATTTAAACAAAGGCAAAAAGCACCAAAATTAGCCATTAGCACCATAAGCTATGCTAACAAAAAGCTGTAACCAAAATCAAGCCCATACAATTCAAGCATAATAAGTGCAATAAGCTTTTTCTTACTCTATAAAGTAGACCTCTCCGCTCTCGGTGTAAGCCATCTCCCAGTTTTCGGGCAGAGGGCCCAAGGGGTCCTCGTCCGAGGGGTGGCTGGGGTGTGTGTGTGTGTTCTGCGTGCTCTCCGTGGTTGACGCCAAGGCGTTGTTGAGCCGGTGGGACGGGGCGAAGGGTCGCACCGAGTGGTGCTCGTCGGGTTCACTCGAGTCTCCTGCGCACAAACAAAGGCAGGTGATGTAAGCTGGTCAGAGCTGGTGGGATCTCTCACAGAGACAAAGCTGCCCAGAGACACATAAATACACAGAGATTGGCTCCCAGTGTTGCTGCTGAAGTTGAAATAGTTGCTGTGTGCTTTACTTTCCCCTCTGCTCAACTACCCCAGACAGGGGGGTGGGGTCACTTAACACCCCCTCATGCTTCCTGACCTATTCGCATTAATCAAAAGCCATTTACACTTATTCTCCCTCTCACACACACACACACACTTACTTGGCTGCCTGCAACCGTCAGACGCATACAAATGAAATCAACAACCTCTTTAACCAATGCAGAAAAAGGCAGGAGTGGAAAAAGTACAGAGAAACTGCACTTATAGGCACTTGGTTAAGATCTCATGGTTAAAAGTGGAAGTGTGGAGTCAGGAATAAACTCGAGTCAAGGTAAAAGGTATCAACATTTAAACACAGTCAAGTATATAAAAGTAAAAATGTTTTAACAGACAACTTACGGCATTTTATATGTCCGGTGGTGAGTGATGCAGCGACTAATGGGTACCGGTCATTTCACACAGACAAATTAGCAAAGTTGTGGGCAGTTTCATTTTGCACTAGGAGTGGGCAATATGACAATATTTATCATTATCATGATGGATTAACTCACTGTCAGAGCCAAACCTCGTATCTCCAAAACAGAAATATTACAGGAGAAGGAAAAAACATTTTTGAACAAGATCTTAGAGAGCAATTTAGGAGCTTTTCTTTTGGTCCAGTCATTATAAAACTGTCACAGTATTAAGTGCAACTGTTGTTTTAAAATCAGGTGAAAAATGGAGATACAAAGCTTTGTTCCAACAGCAACAACATGCTTACCTGATTATACTGTGGATATCATCAGTATTTAAAGAACAATGACATCTCCAAAACATTCTTAAAAAAAAAAAAACATTTTTAACTTATAATGGAAGTAAACGTGTGTGTGTGTGTGTATATGACTTCCATATATATATATATATATATATATATATATATATATAAATATAATAGTATCTCTCTTTGCATATTTACGTAGCACATTAGACAGATGAGAGCAGGTATTGTACTAATTGGTATGAGGTAGTTTACAACACTGACAGTCTTAAGTGTGCAGTGAAAGTGTCATTACAGTAGCGGTTTTGATATACTGCACAGTGTGTAGTAACAAGAGAGGTAATATAGTGATGTGATTCAGTACAGTTCAGGCAGCAGGAAGTCAGTACTCTCTGCAGTGAGGAGACTCTTTGTAGAGCCGTATATCAGTGCGTGCATATATATATATATATATATATTATATTACTTACTATATTATTACTTGGTTAGTTTTTTTGCCACTATTGATACTTCATCTGTTCAAACTTACCAAAACTCAGCAAAACAGATATCACAGTGCACATCATATACATATATCATGATATCACGATGCACATATATACATTATATCATGATATTCTATTTTCCACATGCAGCTTGATACGGATTTGGTTGAATGTCTTAAGAAATAATTTATCCAAATGCATGTGCACTAAAATGATTAGCAAGAGAAAAAGATTTCCTCATCTTTGAGATTTGTTAAGAGTATTTCAAAAGTCTAAATGAAAATATAATGAGTGAAGAAATGTTTTTTTTTTCTCTTGGAAATGTAGTCAAGTAAGAGAACAAGTATTCACTTTCAACAATACTCAAGTAAAGTATAAGTTGTACAAAATAACACTTAGGCGCAATTATGAATTACAATTACTTGAGTATTTTCCACCCCTGGAAAACACTGTCAATAACAACAACAACAAAAAAGCTTTCAACCTCTTGCAAAGCTGAAATATTCAGATGCTAATTGAGACTGGAAGGCGGGGTCAAGTAAGTGATAAAGAGGTAAGGGTGGGTCATACGGCATAAAAAGTAACAACAAACAAAATAAATTAACAAAGCATAATAGCATCCAATCAGCTACCTGTTACTATGCAGTTTATGCAGTTGCTATACTCTGGTTGGTTTTGTTTACAGCCTCTCTGTAATTGGTCTGTACTGTTGTTCAGTGTTCTAGAATTATGATACCCATAACATACACAAGAGGAAGTATCGCACCATCATTTATCACAATGACAATAGCATATCATACTGACCGCTCCTTCAAAGCTGCTCAGGTAAAGAAAAAAATAAAAATAATAATAATAATAAAAAAAATTTCAACGTTCTCAACAAGAAACATCAGTATAACCAAATAAGCAGCTGCTACTCCTTGAGACAAATGACAGAAAATCCTTAAAACAAACTTCAAAGACGGCAGAGCCCATCCACACTGTCACATAATCCAAGTTAATTAGAATTAGAATTTATAGGAATCTGCTGCAGCTTCTAATTAATCCAGTTACGTTCTAATTACCACCCAGAGCTCTAGGACCTCCAGCAGAAACACTGACACACGACTCATATTCAGACTGTTTGTGAAGCTAACAGATTGGTTGGCTCACTACAGAGAACTTTGCTGTATTAGAACGCAAAGTCATTTATCAGAGCGTCCAAGCCACACCCCTGGAATACACTAACATGCACTACATGTTTTTGCTGTTGAATAAAAAAGCCGACACCCATCGCCACAGCCAGAGGGCGCTGTTTCGTCTCAATTTGCCAGCCAGACAGCAACACACCTCTACTACAAGTCTTATTGTTCAGTCTTCCTGCCTTGAAAGCTCACCTTTGTGTTAATACGTGACCCCTATCTGTTATCAGCACAAACAGACCACTGCTGAGAAAGTGTCTCAAGCACGACAACAAAAACATTATTTTTTAAACAGTCCAACGTTGGGGTAGCAATAAACTGATCGCACTAGAATCATAAGACTACATTACACAGATTGTTTGCTCAGGAGTTCAGCAAATATACAGCAGGTATTTCACAGGCCCTTCACTGAATAATCACTGCTGCTTTTTCCTCCACATTAGCCTCTGCTGACACGCTGCTCACACCTGATAACGACCACAGGATGTGCCCACGGGAGAGGGGGCCGGTTTGGGGGATATGATAACATTTATCACTAGTGTGATAAATTACGTCACGTTATACTTTTCTGAGCATATTGTGGACACGGTCAGCACTTAAAGAACACTGAGCAACTGCATGTTTCATTACAAAGAGAGCATAACTAGTCCAGATGTGTATCGTGAAAATGTCTTCCAGTAGCTTAATATTATATTTTTGCCATTTTCACCCACCCATATGCACATGTGAAGTGCAGGCTGATGCAAAAAACACAGAGGGTCGAGTCAGTTTTAGACAACAATCCCCAAAAATCTCACCTCCCTTTAGTTTATAAGTACGGAGCCCTGCTGGTGACATCCTGTATAAATAAAAATAATGCGTGGCCATGCCATATTAACTCATGGGAACGAGATACTAATCCGTGGCCACGACTTAATAAGGCACGGGAATGAGATAATTAAGTCGTGGCCACGATATAGTAAGGCATGGGAACGAGATCATGCCTTACTAAGTCGTGGCCATGCATTAGGATCTCGTTCCCACGTCTTGCTAACATAAAAATATTGTGCGGCCACAACTTAATAGTTAATAATTAAGTTGTGGCGATGTAATATTTTTATTTATACAGGATGTCACCAGAGGGGCTCCATATATAAGTGAAAAAAAATGGCCAGGGCCTGTTTTATTACACACTTCTATAACATAAGAACAGCTCAAACAGTTTGCATTGAAGTCCCTGTAGTTACTGAATAATAAGCCTTACTATGTAATAAGCTTGGGATTTTAAAGAGTTAAGCATGTCTAATACTTTAGATTTACAGCGGTCGCCACAAAAAGCAGCCAATAAGAGACCCTCAGAAGAGACAAAGGGCATGCTACTGATAAAAGTTTAAATTTCTATAGACTGTTTTGACACACACACACACACACACACACACACACACACACACACACACACACATACACACACACACATACATACATACATATACATATACATATACATATATATATATATATATATATATATATATATATATATATATATATATATATATATATAAATAAAGACACCCTATTGAAATCATCACATCCTCACCATACATATACACTATATGTCCAAAGGTCTGTGGACACCCCTTCTTATTAGCACCCACTGCTGACATAGGAGTTCAAATACACAGCTTGTTCAAACATTGACCAACAGAATGAGACGCTCTGGAGCAGCTGCACATGAGCCTAAAGTCATCATGCCTAATGCCAAGCATGGGCTAGAGGGGTGTAAAGTCAGTGGAACTGAGTTCTCTGGAGTGATGAAGCTCCATCCAATACCTCTGGTTGAGTTAAGGTGACGTTTGTGATCCAGAAGTAATCACCCAACATCAGTACCCAAACTCACTAATGCTCCAGTGGCTGAAGGCAGTCAAATCTTCACAGAAATATTCCAACATCTAGTGTAAAGCTTTGCCAGAAGAGAAAAGGCTGTTACTGCAGCAAAAGGGGAAAAGACACTTTTGATAATCTTGATTTTGAAAAAACGATGTCCACAAACTTTTGGCCACAGATGATATTGTCTAATTTTGATATTTGAGTATATGTAAGTTAATGAATTGATATTTGGCTAATATTTGGAGAAAGGGAAAAAATAAAATAAAATAAATTAAAAACTTCAGGCAAAAATTATGTCGGGCAACAGGCATAATTTAGGGGACTGCACCCAAAAAAATTAAAAATGCAAAGAAATTCATCTGAAAACATGACTTACTGTTCAAAAACCGTTGGACAGTGTTTGTATCTAATGAATAACAGTGGCTGCCTCTTCAGACGAGCTAGCAGAGCTAATTGTGACAACACTGGATGCTGATGAGGACTCATCGTCTTCTGCATGAGGACTCTTCTCCTCAGTGGATGGTGTGTATCTCTGACAAACTAACATGCTGGCACATTTCTACCGATTCTGGACCTAGCTAGCTAGTCTAGTTAGCACAAAAGCCACATCAGAACTGCCCGTGCAATAACGAGCTTCCCTTTTCTGTCACGTCCTTAGCTACATATTAAAATACTCATGATTCGTAGAAGTACGTGTAATACAATACGCATACTCACAAATATGGAAAGGGAGGAAACCTTTCATATTTTACAGTCCTGTCAAAATATAAAACCTCAGCTTCACAGAACTGAACGTGAAGAATAACTGAACAGTGATTTACTGGCATCTTAAAAGGTCAGCCGAGTTCTCTGGTACCCGGTCACACCCCTGATACGGAAGCGCAGACGCACTGACCTGTGAAGCTGCTGTTCATTTCAGGAAGCTCCTCCTCATCCTCTGTTTCTGCTATTCCAGCATTCTGCATCTCATTGTAGGATTTGGTGCGGCGGGGCGTGAGCTGCTGAGAGACGGGCCGGCTGGCAGCAGAAACATCACTGCTGACCACTCTCACACCAGGGGGCTGCGGAGAGGGCTTCGGGGTGCCATAGTAGTTACCTAGGCAACAAGGGGATACGGCGTGAGTCGACAGAAGAGGAAAAGGGAGAGGGAGGAGAAGAGGGAGGATTGCAACGGTGGAGGGATTATTTGACAAATAGAGAAAGAAAAAGACGGCCTCGCGAAAGAGTGAAATGGGTGGTATGAGAAAGAGAGAGGGGGCAGAGTGAAAGAAAGAGACAAATAGAGAGAAAAAGAACGAGCAACAGAAAAAAAGCAAGAGAGACGGAGAGAGAGAAAGAGAAGAGCGAGGCAGAATGAGAGAGAACGAGAGAGAGGCACAGAGATACAGAGGTAGAAGGAGATTAAAAGAAAGAGACAGAGAGACAGAGAAGATAGAGAGAGTGAAAAAGTGAGAGACAGAGAGAGGGAGTGAAAGAGAGAGTCAAAGGAAGAGAAACAGAAGGAGAGTGTGAGATAGAGTGAGTGAGAGGAGAAAAAGAGAAAGAAAAAAGAGAGACAGAGAGACAGACATAGATATAGAGATAGAAAGAAACAGAGAGAGAAAAGGTAAGTAGTGAGTAGATGCAGAGTGAGCGACAAAGAGAGCAGAGAGAGACATGTTCAGATTGAAAGAGAAAGATAGAGAGAGAGGAAGTGAGAGAGAGAAAATGATGGACAGAAAGATATAGAGTGAAAAAAGTGAGAGAGAGAGAGAGAGAGGCAGAGTGAGAGACAGAGAGAGAGAGCTTCAGAGGGTGTAAGAGAGAGACATGGACAGAGTGAAAGAGAAAGATAGAGACAGGGAGTGAGAGAGAGAGACAGAGAGAAACAGAGGAAGAGAGTGTGATAGAGAAGCACACACAGAGAGAGAGAGAGAGAGTGAGTGAGAGAAGGAAAAAGAGAGAAAGAAAGAGAAGAGAGGCAGAAAGAAAGAGACAGACAGAGAGATAGAGAGAGAAGATAGAGACAGAGTGAAAAAGTGAGCGAGAGAGGCGGAGTGAGAGACAGACAGAGAGAGAGCTTCAGAGGGTGTAAGAGAGAGAGAAATGGACAGAGTGAAAGATAAAGATACAGGGAGAGAGAGGGAGTGAGAAAAGAGAAAGAAAATGATAGACAGACAGTACAGAGCGATACAGAGAGAGACACAGACAGAGTGAGAGAGAGAGAGAATGTGAAAGACAGAGTGAGAAAGAGAGATAGACACAGACGGGGGGGGCAATATAAATGTATTATTGTTGTTATTGTGCTGTTGCTCCAGTTATTAACTCCATCTTTACTGTCACTGAATATGATCAGCTACAAACACTCAATACTGAAATACTGCAATAAATACTGTATTTGATACAGTCCTGACACACACACACACACACACACACACACACACACACACACACACACACACACACATGGCTCTGCTGATTTGATCAGCAACATCTACAGCTCATTAAACATGAGGTGAGCTGATGATGATGGTGATGAAGATGATGATGGTTTATTGGAAGTTGCTCTTATATTGATTAGAAACAGCCCTGATGACACAGTTACAGTACCGGCTCAGAGAATTAGACCAGTGTTCAGCAGCATCTCTATTGTTCTGTGTAGAAAAACGCGTGTGTGTTTGTGTGTGTGGTGTGTGTTGTGTGTGTGTGTGTGTTGTGTGTGTGTATGATGAAACCACATGAAATTTCCACGACTTGATGGTCTAAATACAGGTACAACATGTAAAGCCGTCTGAATCCTTTATGTAAAAAAAGGCCTGGTTACTGTACAGAAGAAGGAAAAACAGTCCTCACTTTCACATGTAAATTCATGTAAAAACACTTTTTTCAGAGGAATTCTGAAGCATTTCTATTGGTCCATTCGTCAAAAAATTTTAACATAATGTAAATGACAGCTGTACTCAAATTATGCAGAAAACTAAAAATCGCAAAAACTGGAGAAGGAGACAGTAACGATAGATTTTTTTTTTAGACAAAAATGAAATCTGTGCATATTGTTTATATCGTTTTATTGTCCACTTTCCGCTACTGTGTAAACACTTTCTCCAGTTTCTCCACTTTCAGTTTTGCATTCTGCACGTTTTTAAAATTAATTCTCAGTCGTTTCAAAATAACTGAATCTAATCGTGATTAAATGAAAAATTCTTGATTTACTGAATCATTTTGTAAAGATTCAGAAAAGAGGTGAATCATTACGAGGTTAGAGATTTTCACACCTAAGACAGACGGACAAGCAGACAGACAGATGGACAGACAGACAGACGGAAAGAGCCGTCTGTCCTTCCGCAGTAGCCTGTGGTCTGACTGCTACAAACTGAGATATTTAAACTGCTGCTCTGAAAAAGAGTCACTAAAAAGTGTGCTTTGGGCCTAAATGACCCAAACCTGCATGTTAGGCTGTTTGTCTGCTAAAGTCTGCAGTAGAGTTTGGGTTATTAACACTGCATCTGTCTGTGGCTTGATTGGTTCCACATTGCAGTGACTAAAGAACTCCACTCATAGCTGATCACTGACTGGTCAAGTTCAGCTGGTCTGCACAAAACAAGCTAAGTGAGATTCAGATCAGAGAGAGAGAGAGAGAGAGAGAGAGAGAGAGAGAGAGAGAGAGAGAGCGAGAGCGAGAGAGAGAGAGAGAGAAATACAAGAGAGAGATACAGAGATAGAAGGAGATTCAGAGAGACAGAGACAGAAGGCAGAAAGCCAGAGAGAGGGATACAGAGAAAGAGATAAAAGGAGATGCAATAAGAGAAAGAAAGAGAAAGAGAGAAAGAGAAAGAGAGAGAGAGAGAGAGACAGAGAGAGAGAGAGAGAGAGAGAGAGAGAGAGAGAGACAGAGAAGACAGAGTGACAGAGAGAGGGTGAGATAGAGACAGACAGCCAGACAGAGAGACACACAGATAGAAGGAGATACAATAAGGGAGAGACACAGAATTTGTGTGTGGGTGCCGGGTGTAAAAACACCGTTCTTATCACGACCCTCACTTATGAGAAACTGGAAAGCCAGCTGATGTATAAACACTGATGAAAACAAAGCAAACATTTTAACTGTAAAAGACACTTTTTAAAACTTCTTCCCAAACCACCAGCTTTCATTCAGCGCTTTAGTGAAATTAAGGGCTAAAGAGTACAAATGTGGAAAACTCTTGACGAGGAGGTGTGTCCAAACGCACCGGTGCTACTTCGAGGCTTTTACCTTCATAAGAGCCGATTTCCAGAAGCGTCCCGCTCTGTTCGAGTTTCAGGAACTCATCCACAGACAGGAAGTTGTAGTCAACGCCGGGCACCTCTCCGTCACGAGGAGGGCGCGTCGTACCTGCGAGGAACAGCAAGAGAAACAGACTCGTGAACTTTACGATGCAAAACTTTAGGCAGTTTTTTTTCTGATTTACATTTGGTCATTTTAGCAGACGCTGTTATCAGTGCTTAATGTGGTAAAACATGCAAACAGGAGAGCGCAAGTTAAAACAAGACCAATCAGATGCTGTTAGGGGTCATAAACAGTCTTTTTCTAGCTTTACTGAGTGCAACAGCAGCAATTTCAAATTATGTCAAAAACTGAAACTGTTCCAAAAGCAGCGATATGCTTATTAATTTGTAAACAGTAAATAGTTTGCTACGCCTGTAAGGAGTTTAATATTCCTTTATTATTTAAAATAACTTTTATATTTGTTTATAGGTCACCTCATAGTCAGACCCTCCACCAAGGGGCCCTCAAGACCTCTTATATAAACCCTGTGTAACAGTGAGTTCTACAAAAATGAGTTGGACTGAATCTTTGCTATTTAGTATGTATTGATTGTATTGTTGGTCTTCTGAGTGAAAATAAGTGAACACATCCTCTACAGAGAACACCTGCACATTTTAATACACAGTTACTGTTTACTTGCTTGTTCTCTGTAGAGGACGTGTAGTAACGTTATACGCATGCACTGCTGCATGTGAGATAATGGTTAGAAAACACTCCTTATAACTTCAACATCAATGGGTGGGGCTAAACTGCTGAAGGCTAAATAGGTGCACGGGATTCAAAACAGGTTTTCACAGCATAGCGTTCATATATGGACTGTATGGAAAGGGGGGGTGAACAGTACGTTTTGAAACAGTAAAAATGTTTACATAACACATCGAACCATTTCATTTTTAACCCTCTGGGGTCGACAAACACACCAGCGCATCAAATTAGATGTTTCTCAGTGATTCTTTTAATATCTCTGCAATAATACAGCACAGAAATATGATTCAAACAGTTCCTGAATCTGCAGAGTCGCCCTTTACATTCCATCTCATCCTCCATCTCAGTTATGAGCCAACGAAGACAAGTTGAGAAACACTGTCTGCCTCTCACTGCGTGTTATCTGCCTCTTGCCTGTAATTAGTGGATTTGTGTGTTCGTCTATATTTTGCGTGAAACTGACCAATGGACACTCAGGAAATCACTAAGCACTGACCAATAACATCGGAAACCTTTTGTTTTTCATTCAGTCGACTCGGATGTAGACGTGAAAGGGTGTGTATAAAGTTTTTAAAAGTTTTTTTTGTGCATAAACTTATTAAAGTTTTACTTTTGTGAACCTAAGACTTTGGTAAACCCATTACAAGCACCAAAAGAATTATTCCAGATGAATAAAGCTATAGAGCAAGATATTAAGAATTCCTAAAACCGCGCTTCAATTTTTCAGCTTTAGGGCGCATTATCTCCTTACACAGTGCTCCAGGTCAAAGGGGTCCCATTATGGAGAGAACAGACTATCCTGAATATTTTGATATGTAACATGTGGCTATCATGTCATATGCAAGTGCCTTTAAACATGCATTTATAAATATATGCAAAAATCAAGAAAATGCCCTTGGACCTCAGAGGGTTTTCCATGATATGGGCCCTTTAATCCCTATTAGGTGAGAATCACCAATGAGTCCCTGGTTCTGAGCCCACCAGAGCAGTAAGCAAAGACGTTATCACTTATTCATGAAGCTGTGAAGCCGCGTGACAAAGCACATTCAGGCGTCACGCAGCAATCTGGCCACAGACGACCTGCATGTGCTACATACCAACAGTGTGCCGCTGGGCGTGAGCCGTGTTGGAGGCGGTGGGGGAGGAGATCAGGCAACATATTGGAAGGTAAACGATGACAGGAGGCAACAGAGAGCGAGCTGATGTACACCAAGGCCTGCCCTCTGTCTGACTGCCAACCTCTCTCTCACCTTCTGTGTCTCTCTCTCATTCTCTCTGCTAAACGCCCAAAGATTACAGAAGCCTGGGGATCAAAGAAATCCATTCTGCAACCCTGCCTCCACTAATTCTCTCTCTCTCTCTCTCTCTACGCTTATTACGAAAGAGCCCATATTCTACATTTTTTTAAAAATACATTTTCTTTTTTCCACCAAAATAATTTGAACATGGCCATTTTCCAACCTCTCCTTTACCCCTCACCTCTCTTTTATGTAACAAACCGTTTGTGTTACTGTGCCTTTACAGCTTATATATGTAAATTACCTCTATTCTGATTGGTTGCCCTGTATAGTGCCTCATTCAAAAAGTAGCCCATTCAGACATGTACACAAAAAAACTGCTCAATTTGAACTGATATCCCTGGAAACATCACAGAAAAATAAACTTCAGCCTCTTCTTTCAAATATGTGGATCGTCTGAAAGGCTGCAGTGATCCTTTTGGTTCCTGACGGCCAGGAACCGCACAATGTTTAATCCTTCTTCCACTCCAATAACCCTGATACTGTCCATGTGCAGGAACGAGACACTGGGTCACAACAACATGACATGAATGTCTGGGCCTAAAGTTCTGTAGGCAGATCTGGAGGTAACTTATAAATGCGCTCATGTGCACCATGTGACATCACCATGACATCACAACCATGAGGAATTCAAATCAGGCTGCTTTTGCAGCTTAGCGATCACATATACATTGTACTGGCTGGGGAGTGAACATTACATCAAGGGACATTCGGGTTTTCATGGTAAGAGCCCTTCAAATTGAATTTAAACACCTGTAGTCAGAACTTAAGACCTCATCATCTTTCCCAGTTAGTGCTCTTGGTGATTCTGTAAACAGAGAATATTCTCGCATATCAGCACCAAAACAGACATCAGACAATCAAACAACGCACTGCAACAGAGATTAATAGTCAGTAACACACAGGCCAGTCTGCCTGTCTCCAAACAGCCTCTAAGATGGCTACATGATAACATGGCACTCTGTCAGGGCAGATGCGTTTTTGGCAGCCTTTGCAGTGGCCACTGGTGATAAATCAGAGCTGTGGTGATAACTTGGATAAGGCTGAGCTTCTGTTTCCTTAATAAGCCTTGGAATGCAGGTTCAGTCAGTTCATGGGGCTGTAGCAAAGAGTAGCAAGGTCGTCGGTACAGTTAAAAAGTGGAACGTCTTGGTGCATGACTCCATCTACATCTACCTTTGGGAACCAAAAACCACATCTGCGTTTGCGTTATACTGATCCAGACCCTATGCTGATCAATTAGATGATTAATACAGCAATATATCTGTGATACCCTGTGCATTATTTCATCTGTAAAACAAAATCATAATATACCTGCCAAATTAGCCTGCATCACATTACAATGTTGAATTCATTCTTTACAGTCTGACAGTAATAATTGTGGAGTGATTTTAATCCAGTATGAATCTGCAGTGTGTGTAGTTTTAGAGTCTGACAGTAATAATTGTGGAGTGATTTTACTCCAGTATGAATCTGCAGTGTGTGGAGTTTTACAGTCTGACAGTAATAACTGTGGAGTGATTTTACTCCAGTATGAATCTGCAGTGTGTGTAGTTTATACAGTCTGACGGTTATAATTGTGGAGCGATTTTAATCCAGTATGATTCTGCAGTGAGTGTAGTTTTTACAGTCTGACAGTTATAATTGTGGAGCGATTTTAATCCAGTATGAATCTGCAGTGTGTGTAGTTTTTATAGTCTGACAGTAATAATTGTGGAGTGATTTTAATCCAGTATGAATCTGCAGTGTGTGTAGTTTTTATAGTCTGACAGTAATAATTGTGGAGTGATTTTAATCCAGTATGAATCTGCAGTGTGTGTAGTTTTTATAGTCTGACAGTAATAATTGTGGAGTGATTTTAATCCAGTATGAATCTGCAGTGTGTGTAGTTTTTAAAGTCTGACAGTAATAATTGTGGAGTGATTTTAATCCAGTATGAATCTGCAGTGTGTGTAGTTTTACAGTCTGCCAGTAATAATTGTGGAGTGATATTAATCCAGTATGAATCTGCAGTGTGTGTAGTTTTTACAGTCTGACAGTAATAATTGTGGAGCGATTTTAATCCAGTATGAATCTGCAGTGTGTGTAGTTTTACAGTCTGACAGTAATAATTGTGGAGCGATTCAGTTTTAATCCACCTCACCAAAATGGAATAACAAAATCTGCTAATAGACACAGCTGTGTTGTTATTGTTGTTGAGTGTGTCCCATGGCTTAACAATGACATGACATCCAGGCTATCTGTGGTCATTTTGGGAAATTATACAAATACTTCATCTCGAACCAATCAGCCAATCAAATCTCAACAAAATATATCAAGCAACTGCATGTGGTGAAACTAATCCTAATCTCTAATAGCATTAACAACAACATAAAGATGAGCAGGTATAACTGCAGACAGTCAATGATTTCATGCTTATGCAATCACAAGTCCTACCAGATAAGTAAGCAACGAATATGAGTCAAGTGTTGCACATGTAGTGTCTATTGTCTGCGTTTTGCATCCTAATGATGCTGCATAGTTGTGCGCATTCGTCTTCTATGAGCAGATGCTGCAGGACTACGCATCCTTCAGTAAAAATAGCAAGGCCTTGCTCGTAGTCATACATTCTGTTTCCGTTGCTAGGGACAACCCTGCGAGGCTGGAGAACCACTCGCAGGCCCGTCCCTGATGACTGTGGAGTTTATATGCAGTTTCAGCTCAAAGCTCCACGCGCACACACACGCATACATACTGTACAGATCAACCTTTGCTTTACGTAAGACAACAGCCACAAAACAACAAAGATTAGAAGAGAGCGTGTGTCAGACTTCAGTCCTCGTGGATCACAGCTCTGCAGAGTGCAGCATTCTGCATCATTAAATGCAACTGATTCACACGCACACAGTTTCTATGCCGGTTATCCTTCTGGGTCACGGGGGGACCTGGAGCCTATCCCAGCTGTCATTGGGCAGAAGGCAGGAAACACCCTGGACAGGTCGCCAGTCCATTGCAGGGCAGATAGACACACATTCACACCTATTTAGCTAAACACACTTGATTTTATTTATAAGCCTTCATGAC